GGACCGACACCCGAGCGCGTTCCGCTCCTCACAGGCAAGGTCTGGCCTTGGGGCTGGTGGGATTGCTTTACTTGTGGGCGTGCGAACCCACCAGAACGCAATACCTGCCGGCACCATGATTCCGAGGAGCTCGGAGGTGCCCCCTGTGTGGGGATCTTCGAGGACAGCCTGTACTGGAGCACGCCGGTGGACCTGCGAACGGCGCCGGCGTGGTTCATCGAGGTCTGGCTCGATGAACATAAGGAACGCATAAAGGAGTACCTTTATGCGAAGCGTTCGGACGCGATCGCCGCCGCAATGTCCAACGCCTACTGGACCTGTGGGCGGGACACATGCCAAGAGAGGAACATGTTATGGCGCAAACTGTGCTTTAAGTGCAGTGGCCCTAAGTCGGGCGCGTCGTTCATAACCCACGGCATGCCGCCCCAGGAAGGCGACGATGAAGCTGCTTCTTCGTCGGAAGAGAGCGAGGGCACGAAGATGGAACGGATCGAGCGTTCCATCAACGCCGATCCCCTTGCGGAGCATGCGAGGAAATTCCTCCGCTCCGGACGGAAGAGGCTCCGCGCTGAAAAGCGCAGGCAGGCAGAGCTCTCTCAAGACTCTGCCCGAGCCTGGTGGAGCCAACCTTCCTCCGGGCGCGGTGCACCCAGTGGGGGCCGCAGCTCTGGCAGCAAGGGTGGTGGCAAAGGTGGTGGAAGGGGAAGCTCGAACCGCTACGGCAACCGAGGATGGTGGGCCGGAGGTGCTGCCGGACTGGCATACTCCTCCCGACTCGGCGAGCGTGCTGGGCAGCCCGCCCTCACGCTCCCACTGCGTGGCCCGGGTGGCCACAGAGTGGCGCCCGAGGCCCCTGCCGTTTCTTCTCGCCCCGCTGTCTCTTCCGGGCCCTCGAACCGTGGTGGGTTCCTTGGGGCCGTGCGCTCGATAGGCGCTGCGGTCTCCAGCTGGGCTCTCTCCAGGAGAGCGCGCAATCGCGCAGCCCACGCCACAACGGGCAACATTGGATGGAAGACGGGTTTGGTGGCCGCTGCGCTGGCGCCTACCCTCTTCACTGTTGAGCGCGGTGCCAGAGAGGTGGCACACGTGAGCCTCACTGCAGTTGCCACTGCGGCGGAGGACCTCATCGAGGAATCCTCTGGTATCCTCGTTCGGGGTGTCCGCGTGGTTGGCTTGACGGCCGTCGTCCTACTGTGGACGTTCGCGGCCGTAGTGCTGTGGTGGGCCGGACGTGTCGCCACTAACCGGCTAATGCACGCCATGAACGGTAACCCCTTTGGGAATGCTGTTCTGGTGTCGCTCGAAGGCCGGGAGGCTGTCTTTGAGGTTGCATCAAAGACTAAGGCCGGAGCACACAGGGTTCTTGTGAAGGTCGGGTCGGGCGCGGACGGCGCAGGCTGCGACTGCAAGGCATTCCTCAACGAGGGACGTTGTGGTCACATAGAACGCGCTGTTGAAGCTGCGGGGCAACTCGTGGCCATGACAGGCGCGAGCGCTGCCCCAACGCTGTCCGTCGCCCCGGCCGCGACTAGACGCGCCCGTGCGATCCTCGGCGCGCCGGCCCTGGAACAGGGGTGCCTTGCCGGCATGGTGTCGAAAGCGAGATCGCTCTCTGAAAGAGCTCGGAATGTCGGGAACCCGTCCGAGGGTTGCCTTGACGGCTTTACCAAGCTCAGAGGCCGCCACGAGGTGGCCACAGTGTCGGCGCCTCCGACAGAGACTGTTCCGAAGACGCCTGCAGCGGAGGCTTCCCGCCAGGGTACCTCTGCGGCGTCTCCGGCTCCGACAGCTCCCATGTCGAGCCAGGCACGGCGTGTCAGAGACTTCCCGATCCCTGACGGCTTCGAGCGAGCCGGGGTCAAGTTTCTGACCCTTCCGGAGTATCACGCTGTGGTACAAACGATGCTATCGGACGCTGGGCATGGGGACCACGTTTACGTGCGAGCCTACAGCTTCGATAGCAAGCCTTTGGTTGGAGCCCTCGTGTCCTCGCTGGAGCGAGGCGCCCGAGCCCACGTGCTTGCCGACAACTCGCAGACGAGCCGGACCAAGCTCCAGCTGCAGTCCCTCAAGGAGCTAGGGGCGGCTGGCGTCCAGGTCCGTGTCGGCAAGGGCACCTCGGTCAAGGCGGCTTACGCCGCCGAGAACCGCACGGACGTGAGCATCGGCGCAGGCCTCGCGGGCATCCACCACGCCAAGACGGTGCTCGTGACGAGGCCGGACTCCACAGTTAGCGCCGTGATAGGAAGCCTAAACTTTAGTGCTAGTTCACGGGCCAACGCGGAGGTCGGCATCGCGGTCGCCAGTGTGCTGACCTCTGAATTTAGCCAAAAGTGGCTAGATTCGTTTGGCACCGAGTGGTCCAAGGCGCTGAAGCTCGAGGAGTTCGAAGCACCTCAGCGGAACCACCGCGGGCGGGCAAAACCCTCAAATGTCCAGCAGCCCGCCGCGCAACCCAACGTGGAGCCGCAGTGACCGTGGACTAGAAGTCGCGGACTGCGCTCCGCCCTTCTAGCCACCTGTGGCAACTTCAGTTTTGGTCGCAGCACCTAGCTGCTTTCCGATGAGACGACAGGGTGGCGTATCCGCTCTACAGGTCTTTGACGGGAGCGGCTAGGGAGGCACGGTAGTGCTCCCGAAGCGCGTGGAGTAACGCCGCAGCTTCAGCTGCTCGTTTCACCAGCCCTGTGGCCGCAGTGCGGCGCAGGCTGTGTACAGTAGGAAACCAGAGCCTCGTGCAGCACAGGCCGTGAAAAACGAAGGTCTTGTGCTGAGTGCGAAGGGTTTGTAGGAGGGCAGGGTCTGTAGGTCAGTTTTACGGCCTCCGGCCGCCCGCGGAATCCTACGGCTCTATCGTGCTCTCGGCTGAGGGGCGAATGTAACTGTACATAGTCTGCGGGCTGGCTGTTGTGCTGTATGCTTTTATGCATGCTCTTCTGTAATTCGTATTCATAACATTTTTGGCTCAAGTGAGCACGGCAGTGTGTCGTTGGTAGCTTCTCGTTGCCGCGACGCAATTGCGCGCAGCCCGTCCTGGGCGGACGTTCGACCTGTCACGGTCGTTGGACTTTCTGCTTGGACGGAAAACGAGGGTGCGTGCTGCCCCTTTGGGTTTCCGTTCTCCACATAGTACTACTACTACTACTACTACTACTACTACTCCTACTGCTACTCCTACTCCTACTGCTACTGCTACTGCCACTGCTACTGCTGCTGCTACTGCTACTGCTGCTACTACTGGGACGACAACAATAAGTACGGTTACCATTTCCCTTTACCGAAACGCCTGCCCAGGCCGGTGCGGCGGTACTGGTACTTCTGGGACTTCGCGTCCTTATTCGTGGCCCCGAGGCTGTGGCGGGCTGTCGTGCAGAGATTTTTGGCATTCTGGGCCTTCGCGTCCTTATTCGTGCTGTCGTGCAGAGATTTTTGGCATTTTCCGGCAACATCTAGAGGCATTTAGCGACTTTTCAGTGGGGGCAAGTGCTGGTTGGTAAATCGTGCGCGGGGCGCTCGCGGAGAGCAATTGCAGCCTAGCTGGTTCGCGGGTGGTTCGCGGGTGGTTCGCGGTATGCGGTTCGCCGGTGGTACGCCGGTGGTACGCCGGTGGGTCGCCGGTGGTTCGCGGTACGCCGGTGGTACGCAGGTGGTTCGTGGTACGCGGTACGCCGGTGGTACGCCGGTGGTACGCCGGTGGTTCGTGGTACGCCGGTGGTTCGCCGGTGGTTCGCTGGTGCCTGGTTTGGGTGGTTCGCGGGTGGTTCGCGGGTGGTTCGGGCTAGTGGTTCGCAGGTGGTTCGCGGGTGGTTCGGGCATTTGTTGGGCCACTGTTGGGGTCATGGGAACCGCCGTTAAGGACAAGGGCAAAATCAGCAAAAAAACAATCCAAAACTGGCGGAAACCAGCGAAAAACCTATCCGGCCCCGCAAATAAGGACAAAGCCTAAGAAAAGCAGTCTGCGGCCCCCTGAGGCCCCTTGAGGTCCTTAAAATGGCCCCAAACAAGGACACAGGCTCAGAAACGCGATTTGTCAGCATGCGCTAGCCCCGTCGACCCGAGCCAGCCCGTAGCCAGTGCTGCTTCACCGCAGGCGTTCATTTTTAGGCAAAGGTTTCAGGAGGCTTCCAGCTTGAGCTTGTGCCTCTGTGTTTGCTCTTGGCATGGCAGCAGGTGGGACTCCGTTGATTCCCCTGTTGGCGTAGTTCTCAGACTCGCAGCTGCTGTATTCCGAGAGATTGGTGCTTGCAGCCTCACCATTCAATGGTTCGGGCTGTGCTGCCTTCCCTACATCCGGTATGAATTGTTCGAACTAAAACTTTAGGCAGCCTGGCAACCCTTGGCAGTCCTGAGAACTATTGATGTAACCAAGTCCTTAGGAAGGAAGGAGATACATCTTGGGTTTCGACGAAGGAAAGGAAGTTGATTGAGCTGGAACACCCACGTTTCCGAACCCAAAACCTTGCTCTGAATAGTCAGAGGGGTTTAGGGTTTCGAGGTTAGGGGTTAGTTCCGGTTTAGGGTTTGGGGTTAGAAACCTAAACCCAAACCCCCTTAACTGTAAACCATGAGTCTTATCCTGGAGCTCACTTGACAATGACAATCTATCTGCTTGTCTTGGGTCTGTGTCGTTGTATTGGGTCTGTGTCGTCAAGACAGTCAACAGTACAGTATATAGTGCAAACCACTGTGTGATCCCAACCGTCGAGTTGTAGTCACGTGCCACGGATACCGAGGACTGAGGATGATCTGGCTCAGAGGCATGTGTTGGGGCCCAACACCTGCAGGCTGAGTTTGTTGTGATCTGTGATCTTGCTGTGTCAAGAGACAACCGCAGTGCTGGAGTGAGACCTCAGAAGCATCACATGAATTCTAGACGATGCGTTATGATGCATTCGCTAAGCTGTGACCTGCGCTGCTTCATGTGGTTCGAAGGAAGCTTTGTATCCATCATCCATAGCCCATAGCAGCCTGCTACTTCTGAACTCCCGTCGTGGCCAGTCATGCAGAGAGGTTTCTTGCTAGCTGCACCCGAGAAAACCGAGAAGAAGAAGAAGAGTGAGAAGAAGTCCGAGCAGTTGGAGGGTGTGCACGTGACATCTTCCGTGGGCTGTCGTGTCGAGAAAGAGCCCGGCCAGCCCGGCATCTCGATCCTGAAGTTCGACTCGGATGTGGATGTGGATCTGAGCAGCGTGGATGGGATGCTGAAAGTCTTTGCAAAGCCCACGGATCCCTCGAAGTGAGGCAAGCTGGCGGGGCATTCCTGATAAGTCAGTTTTGGCAGTTTTGGTCATACCGGCATCAGCAGAGCTGCAGAAGAAACAGTGCGATTTTATTGCAATGCTGGCAATGCTAAGCAGCGGCTCGCGTTTCATCCTGTCTGCGACACGACAGTTGTCAGTTGTTAGTTGCCATTCGCGGGAATTTTGGGGGCATTGGCTGAAGCGGCTAAACTTGCGAGGTGGACCTTTCCATGAAACCATTGGGTATATTCCTTAGTTTCCCAAGTCACAATACTCAATGAACTTCAATCACAATCGTGCAGACAGAGGCTGTTGGCTGTTGGGCTTGTTTGTGCTTGCTCTGCTCTGGGACTTCGGCCTGCTACCTCTACGTTTACTTCTACATTTACTTACCAAACAGTGTACCAACGACAGGGAGCGTATTCTGCGGTATGTGTCGTCCTCTGCCAACGTTGGCTCAGGCTCATGCTGCTGGCCAAGGAAACATGCAGAGGCTCCAGAGGACGCCTGTTTCTCGTGAGGATTTCATGCATCGAAGATTGCCGCAGAAGCATTTGTCGAGGTCAGCTCGCTTGAAATATTGCAAAGTAGTCTTTCAGTCTTTCCTGTAATTTCAGCATGTAGACTATTCTCCAAAAACTCACACCTCGGTGAAGTCTTGCTAATCATGGCTCTTGCTTGCACTGGCAGGATTCCAGAATGTCCACGAACTTGTCCTCACGCCACTGATGCTACAGCCACGGCCCTGGTAGTGTGTTGCATGCTGAGTGCCATGTGTTTTTCCGGCAATACATCTTCTGCGTGTGTGACGTGTGTCATGCCCGTCACATGTGATCTCCTGCAGAACAGCGCCAGCTGCCAGCTGCTTCAGTTTCAGTGTCAATGATTTGTGGCGGCCCACAATCCCACAAGCTCACAGGTGCTGGAGTCTGGAGTCTAGCTAGGAAGTCTTCTGAAATGGTTTAGTTTGGCCATAAGACTGGAGTCGCAGAGACTGACCGTACTGCTGCTGTAGGGCATACTCAGGAATGGAGCTCCCTGGATGAGCCTTGATGTTGTAACCTAAGGCCGTTGCAGGTTAGGTTCGATGTGCCATCATGGCGGGGGCAGCGACATCTTCAAGCTTTCCTATGGCGGATTCAATCCCGGAGGGGCCCCGAAATGGCGAAGAATCTGATGCGTGGCCAGAGCGTTTCTGGCAGTGCTTGCAGCAACACAGCTTAGACCAGGTGCTGGCCAGGAACATTCAGGATGGCATCAGGATGTCTACGGACTACTCTGGCATGGGTACAGGGGAAGAGGCGATGCGTCAGCTGTGCCTTGTGTGCTGGCAGCACACAGGTGGTCCGCCCGAGGCCGAGCACATGCGAGAGAAGTTCCTTTGTGAGCGTGCCACTGACGTGGATGCTTTTTGTCGGCATGTTTTGATGCATCATGATGAGTTGTTTCGTCCACGATGTCTGTTTGGAGACATTGAGGAAAGAATGCCAGACCATTGTAAAGATGCCATCAAGAAGCGGCTGAAGGAAGAACAAGCATCAGACATGTCTGGCCAGAATCAGCGCAAGCGCAAACACTCGGGCACAGGCGGCACAGGCACGGATTTCGAGAGCAGGGAAGCAGTGCCTGAGCACCTGCAGCTGTCCGACGGAAGGAAGCTGATCCGGAATGCTGTGCAGCTGCTCTTGGCCAATCCTCCGAAAAAGGCTTGGCGGGCGACTTGTTACGCCCACGGTAAGAAGAAGTGCTGTTTGAGTTCTGCTGTCCCGAAGGATTTTGCAGGCATCAGCCTCAACATCACTGGCTTCACTTGTGTGGATTGGTCAGTCTTCGGCTCCAAGTGCAAGTGGCACGGTGATGCAGCCCTGCCCTGGTGCCAGTGGGTGACAGAGCGACTTCGGTGCCAGGAAGATGTGATCCTCTGTGAGTGCACCCCTAGTTTCGATCATCACTTGCTTGGTGAGCTTTTGCAAGGAACTCACGACTTGCAAACCCTTTTGGTTGGTCCTGATGTTCTTGGCGAGCCTGTGCTCCGCACAAGGCTTTTCATGGTGCTGCTGAAAAGGAGCAGCATCGTTTGGGATGATGCAACACAGAGTGCTGGTGTACAAGCACGCTTTGAGAGTATTTTTTCCCACACGACAGTGATGAGCGTCTTGGAGAAGTTTCGGGCCCCCACGACTGAGGTAGATGCTTACCTGAAGGCCCTGGCCAACAGTAAGCACATGCCTGAAACGTCGCGCAGTGGCAAAGCATGGTCGTGGCTCCAGTTGTGTACAGCCTCCCAGCGGGCGTCTGTCAAGGAGCACACAGATGCATTGGAGGGACGTGTTTCCTCGGAAGTCGAGCATTTTGCTCCCGAGCACGAGGCACTGGGAAGTAAGACGAACTTGGGCAGGGGTTCAGAATGGATCTGCAACCTCCGGCAGACCCCAGAGCATGTGCCAGCTCTGTGGCGCCGTGTCCCGACTTTGATGAGAAAATCGCTTTTGTATGTCTTCGGCTTGCGAAGGGTGGGCCTGCCCCTCGAGTCATTGGAGTTGCAAGGTTGGAACGTGTTCGGCAGCCGAGCAAGTCATGGAAAGCTGACAAATTGCTTGCGTTGCTTGCCGAGTTCGAAGGCGATGTCTCTCAGTGGCAATGGCATGCATCTGCACGTGCTGGGCAGTTTGATGTTCTTTATCTTCAGTTGCACCCGTCGAGCGGATCATTTTGCCAATCCCCTAGGCCTAGAGGAGGATTGCAGCATATAAGCACCCCAAAGGATCAGGTGCCTGTGTGACTGGTGGCCATCAGGACAACTGGGTGAACTAGGGCCCAGAAGCTTCACTGTCAGATGCCAGCATGATGGAAAATGGTCCGGGTTCGAGGCTCAGCTGAGGTCGAGTTTCGTTTTGTGCAGACAAGCGTGCAGAGAAGGAGGGTTTGAAGTTGCCATAGTCCATAGTTGAGAGCAGATCAGCCGCACCCACAGACATTATTGCGGACTAACTTCTGTGCCCTGAAAGAAAAATGTCTCGGCCGCTGCGCAGGCTGATTTGGTCTTCGGCCTGCTGGTGCGGTGCCCGGAGAGGATCCTTGGATCAGGGTCGGTCCTTCGCAGTCGCTGGTAACTCACTCAGTCCAAAACTATCATTGCACTGATGCCACCAGAGACTTTTGCAGTTGTGCTGCTATGTCGGAGTGCCGCTAGATTCTGCTGCATCATGCGTGGTCTTATGGCCCTGGCTCCATCAGTGCATCAGTGAAGTGCCATGTGCTATGCACTGCAACAACATCGCATGTGTGCTGTGAACATACTGTATGCTTGAATGGTGAAGAATGAGGAATCAGCAGTATTGGGTGGCGTCTTTTTAGTGCGATGGAAGATCTCGAGCAGGATCAGGATCTTGATTTGGGAAATTTGCTGCAAGAGTCGGAAGACAGCAGCGAAGGCACAAAACTAAAGTATTGTTAACTCTTGACTGTCGACTGTCGTGCATCTGAGAGTGACTGTGAGTGAAAGACAGAGAGAGACAGAGAGAGCGAGAGAGCGAGAGAGCGAGAGAGCGAGAGAGAGAGAGAGAGAGAGAGAGAGAGAGAGAGAGAGAGAGAGAGAGAGAGAGAGAGAGAGAGAGAGAGAGAGAGGAGAGAGAGAGAGAGAGAGAGAGAGAGAGAGCGAGACGAAAGAGAGGAGAGAGAGAGAGATGAGAGAGAGAGAGAGAGAGACAGAGAGAGAGAGAGAGAGAGAGAGAGAGAGAGAGAGAGAGAGAGAGAAAGCGAGAGCGAGTGAGATGGAGAGTGTCAGAGAGGAGAAGAGGCAGCGGGAGAGGGAAGGGAGCGAAAGAAGGGAATTTGACGGGGCTCAATCCGCAGGGAAGCCAGCACAAAAAAAAAAAAAGGTAAGGAAGCCCCTGGGCCCAAGAGAAGGGGCAAGGCCAAGGCACCAAAGTCAGATCAGTCAGAAGACTCCGGAGAGAGAGGACGATCGAGAGAACGTGCAAAGACCGGGAAGCGGCAGCGGGCCAAGGGCCAGAAGGGCAAATCGAAGAGTTCAGAGGCAGACCATTCCGGCGAGAGAGGAAGATCAACGGCACGCGGTAGGAAGCAGAACACCAGGGCCCGGAAGGCCAAATCGAAGAGTTCAGATGCAAGATCGGGAAGAAAGGCCAAGGCAAAGAAGTCTGGAAAGAAATCCAGAAAGGTGCTTGAGAAAAACATCAAGTGCAGCACTTGCAAGAAAACAAAAGATTCTTCGGAATTTCACGAAGGGCAGGCTCGCTGCAAATCGTGCAACTCCCACGTCCGCGCGTGGCATCGTGCATGTGAAGCTCAAGGAATCAGTGAGAAGATGGCGAAGCTGCAGCAGACGGATCCAAAGGTGTATGAACAGGCCATGCTCAAGTGGATCAAAGAGCGCAAAAGGCTAGATTCGGTGTACCAGAAGGTGAAATTTAACATATGGGAATTTGTAGTCTCTGTGCAGCAGCGTACAGGGCTCAGGAAAGAAATCAAAAGAAGGATGATGTGAAAGGAGTACTACATCGAACATGAAGAAAAGGAGGAACAGTGGTGGTAGTGCCAAGCGGCCTGAGTCAGTGAGCTCGGGCAGCGATTACGAAACTTCAACTGATGACGATGATCAGGATATGTGCTGGCTCATTGTTCAAGTCATGCATTCATTCAGTCTCCGACGGTCACCATGTAGCCATATATACAGAAGCATTGGGTCGGGCTACATGGAAAGGCACAGGTGGAAGGGTGGAACAATGCAGGGGGGGCGACGGGGCGAGGTTCGAGTCCATCAGCTTTGCAACCATGACACCTACAAGTCTTGAGTCTTTGAAGTCTCTAGAGCTCGTAGTCCCGAATGCAATTCCTTTTTCTTTGCCCATATCTCCAACATGCTATGCCGATGTGCAGGACTCAGAGGCCGAAGGAGGTGCAGACAAGAAAGACAAAGGGCCTGGCAAGGGTGGCAAGAAGCCCCAGGACGTTGCGGAGTTTGCAAGTTGTGGTTCTGTAATTCCGTAGCATCATATCACAGTTACTGGCAATACTACTTCAACCAATTCAGTTACTTAACAACAGTGTTAAGACCGGTTCAAGTGTTGACGCAGTCGTACTTGTTGTAGTAGCTTATGATGTAGGTATGAATCCTAGGAGTCATTTAGTGGGAGAGGATAGATTGGGTCGTGTCACACACACACACACATGCACTCTCACACACCCACACAGCAGCGTGTCTTCGTGTTCTTCGTGTTGCAAGTGGCTCAGGTTGACCGTGAGCAAAGATGGAAACACTGTTTGGGGGCACAGCGCGACTTCGGAGATCGGGGACGGGTGCGGGCGAAGAGGGCAACACCTTTAGTAAACCAGTTTCTCTCTCCTTCTCTCTCCTTCTCTCACTCTCTCTCTCAATCTCTCTCGCTCTCTCGCTCTCTCTCTCTCTCTCGCTCTCTCTCTCTCTCTAGCTCTCTCTCTCTCTCTCTCTCTGTTCTCTCTCGCTTCTCCTTCTCGCTCTCTCGCTCTCTCGCTCTCTCGCTCTCTCGCTCTCTCGCTCTCTCTCTCTCGCTCTCTCGCTCTCTCGCTCTCTGCTCTCTCTCTCTCTCTCTCCTCTTCTCTTCTCTCTCTCTCTCTCTCTCGGTCTCTCGTGCTTCTCTCCTCTCTCTCTCTCTCTCTCTCTCTCTCTCTCTCTCTCTCTCTCTCTCTCTCTCTCTCTCTCTCTCTCTCTCTCTCTCTCTCTCTCTCTCTCTCTCTCTCTCTCTCTCTCTCTCTCTCTCTCTCTCTCTCTCTCTCTCTCTCTTTCTCTCTTGTTCACTGTATTCCCCGTGTGCTCCGGTTCTGGGGTACCTAAATTACAGAATATGCCGACCCTGGTGAGAGTTGCTAGCTCTGTTGTTTCATGCTATGGCTATTACAACTAAATTCACGCTTCCACTCCTCTCGCTTGTTTCATTGTAACTTAGTTGAATAAATGCGACAAAAGACTCTCTTCATTAATTAGTTGTAAGCGAAGCGCAAGAAAAGAGCACTGTGTTCACACATACACTGCGTTCCTTTGTAATTGAATAAATATATCACAGCTCTTTACCTACATTCGCTTCACTGTTATAATTTAATGGGAGCGAAGCGATCCCCCACAAAGGACTGATTAATTCAATGAAAGTCAGTTGAACATAAACTAGTGCATGGTTTCATTGTGTTTAATTATCTTGATTTGGGTCTCGTTGCTCATTCATCATCGGTTAATCCCTTGACTTGTGGGTCGCCAAGGATAACAGGTTCTTGAATCCTCAGAGCTCCTACAAAAAGGATACTGATGGCACTGGCACCTCCAGGTCGGCTCATTTGTTTCGTTGTGGATCATTTAAAAACAAGACGCACTACATTCATTTAACTCTTTTCGTTTGTTACGTGTTAATAAAACCACACATTAAATACTTGCTTTTATTTCTTATTTCCCTGTTCTCCCCTGTGTTGTCGTATAATTATAAATGATATGCATGCTTTCTTCAAGATAGACGAAACAAACAACACAGCTAAGAAAAGGGCTCGCTTAACTCCCTTTTCTTCTTTCTCGTTGGCTTAGATAACTTTCTGTTGCAATGACAGGAACGAATAATGGAGTGTGGAGAGCGTTGCCGTTGCAGCTGCAGTCCGATTCTTTTAGTTTGTTTGAAATTGACCTTGACCTCGCCCTCGCCTGTGAGTCTCAGGCTCTGCCTTGCTGCCTTGCAGTTGTCGTGTGACCCCGAGGGTTCTGATTCTGATTGCTGCCAGTGCCCTTCGGCCCTGCGAGCACCGAGCAAGTCCTCGGAGTCGTAGCAGCAGCAGCAGCAGCCAAAAGTGTACCAGCAGCAGTGGCAGTAGCAGCATAGTAGTCGCCGAAGCTTGGAAACCTCGTGCCCCGCGACAGCAGATTGAGGCGTTGATTGGGCTTGAACCCGTTGGACGGTGCAAAGCCAAGCAGAGTCCAGCAGAGTCGAAACTCATCACTTCAAGTCTTCTTTATGAAAGCTCGACAACGTTTGTGTTATCCCTGCGGGGCCCCGGGCCCGGGATCCCGCCCGTACTTTTGATGCTGGTGAAGGTGACGGCTACCACCAGTTCCACTTGCTGTTCTTGTCGAATCTTGTCAATGAAGCCATGCAGCATGTGAAGCCTTATGCTATGCCAGCTATGCCTCCGTATCTTTCTGCTCCGCAGCACAACTTCCATAAGGCCTCTGACAGTCCCATGCATTGCAGCTGATCCAACCAGACTCCGAAGGTCCGAAAGGCGCAAAGGCTGGGCTCCTAAGCAGAGGCCAGAAACCCATAGACACTGAAAGTAGTCACCAGAGTCCCCAGTAGTTCCAGAGTGGATCTCATGTTGTGCTTTTCTACCCCACAGTTCCGAAAGCTCGTTCCCTGCTTAGCTTGTGGCAAACACATGCACCGTCAACGTGCCGGCAGGATTGGGTCGACGAGACCAAGGTCACAGCAGCCGAGCGTGCCTGGAATGGCACTTGCTGTGCTTTGCGCACAGCGGCTCAGGAAGTTGTGCAAAGTTGCCAGGCCGGCCTGAACGAGTTCAGAGCGCTTCCAGAGAGGCAAAGCTATGCGGCCGAGATGGGATTGGTTCTTCGGCGCAGTCAATGGGTGGAGGCCTTCCTTGGGCAGGAAAAGAATGGCCAGACTTTGGCATTGCTGATACAGGAGCAGAAGGAGGGTGCCCAAACTGCGCCCGAGGCGGAGGCTACTCCTGCAGCCGTGCCGGATAGCAAGACGACTACTGCCGATTTCGGCGCTGTGTCGCGTGCTGCGCCCTGTGCGTGTTGGCAGCGCCTGGAGACGCTGTCTGACCTGATGGCGTTGGGGGCAGAGTTCAAGAAATGCAAAAACATGCAGGATATCAAAAAGAAGAAGGACGAGCTCATGCAGAAGAAGGGCTACGCAAACGATCTTGTGTCCGCAGCCAAGGGAGCTGTCAACGATATGATAACAGCAAAGAAAAGAGCTGACCAAGCTCAGAAGCGGCAGGAGGAAAAGGCCAAAAAGGAAGCGGAGAAGCGCAAGCAGGAGGAGCCAATGAAGAGACGCAAGAAGAAGGTGGGAAAGCATGCATTGATCAACGCAGAGGATGAAAGCTCCTTTCAAAATTTTCCCAGGTTCAGTCCGCTTCGCTTTGATGTGACACAGCCCTTCATTTACAGGCCGACTCCTCGCACCATGGACGGGCTCCAGAAGTCTTCAGCGAAAGAGTTTGGAGATTTCCGCGAGGTCTTCAAGTCAAGCAACCTCCGTGTGACTGAGGGGAAAGCCACCCGCATCGCTTGCAGTGAAGTGGCTGATGCTTTTGTCAAGGAGGTGCAAATGGCATTGAGTTGCATCTTTGCTGTTGGATACATCGCCGAGAAAGACCCAGCAGAGCCTGCGCCCGGGTCGGGGTCACAGGATGCCGGTGCCGGTGGCGTGACGGCGAGCATGGTTGAGAAAGTCATGAAGCCGCAATGGTTTGGAATGGTGCCTGACCATGTGAGCTTGGGCAGGTATGAGGCAGGCTTGTTGCCCATGATCAAGTGGGTCGCCCAGGGAACTTTCCTTTGCAGCGTGGTGACATGTGACGAGCTGATCGCTAAGACGGATATGCGAACTGGAGACCTGCAGGCCAAGGTGACTTCGAAGACGGATACCGTGGCCAAGGAGAGTTTCTTCATGGGCACCCTCGGTCCAGGTGATTTCTTGTACGTGCCCGCTGGAGCTTTGGCGAGTGTGCAGGCGAACCGAGGGTTTCAGTTTGAGGTTTGCAGGGTCTGACGAGTTGAAGTTGAAGCCTTGCAGCTGCGGTTAGCAACGGCCAGGCTTTGCAGTCTGTGCAGTCTTGTAGAATTGCAATAGATCAGTAGAGTTGCAGCTTGCCGTGACATGTGCTTAGCTGTCAATGCAAAACCTGGTCCCTCGGGCCACTCACTTCATGTCTGTCTAGTTCTATTTCGGCAGCACATGCTTCAAAGACATCTTCTGATTTCTGTGATCTTCGTTATGCGACCCCGCTCCGAGTTCTAAACAGTCAGTGAGCCCAATGCCTCAACCACCCGCTGAAACCGCATTCTGGAGAACCCTTGACATACTTATAGCCTTATGGCAGCAATGCACAAGATCATAGGTCAACTTATTGAGATAACAGTGGCTGAGCAATACATGGCAAGAGAGTTGTGTGTATCGGAGGTTCATTGCGAAGATGCTGTCGGCATGCGGGCAGCGCTACTTCACGAGGATGCGAAAGACATGCTGATCAAGCTTGCGGGCAAGCTCTCGAGCATGCCGTCGAACAACGACAAGGTTGTGCAGGCGGCATTGCTGAGCTGTGCCAAGAAGGCAGAGCTGAGCAGCTCTGTGCTCGCTCCTTTGAGGAAAAGGCTTGCAGACGAGATCAAAGCAAGAGATGAGGCGCTAGCACAACTGGGGGAGGAGGAGAATGAAATGGAAAAGAAGCTTCAGGCATCCGAGGACATAAAGAAGGCCCAAGAAGAGGAGCAGACGCGACGTCAGGAGGAGGAAGCAAAGAAGGCAGGACAGGAAGCCAAGGAAAAGGAGGAAGAGGAGAAGAAGCAAAAGGAGGAGGAAACGAAGAAGGCAGCAGAGGACGCCAAGGCAGAAGAGGAGAAGAAGCGTGCGGAGGAGGAAGCAAGGAAGGCAGCACAGGATGCCAAGGCCAGGGCAGAAGAGGAGAAGAAGAAACGTCAGGAGGAGGAAGCACAGAAGGCAGCCAACGAAAAGGAGGAAGAGGAGAAGAAGCAAAAGGAGGAGCAAGCAAAGAAGGCAGCAGAGGTTGCCAAGGCCAAGATAGAGGAGGAGGAGAAGCGACGTGAGGAGGAGGAAGCAAGGAAGGCAGCAGAGGATGCCAAGGCAGAGGAGGAGAAGAAGCGACGTGAGGAGGAAGAAGCAAAGAAGGCAGCAGAGGATGCCAAGGCAGAAGAGGAGAAGAAGCGACGTGAGGAGGAGGAAGCAAGGAAGGCAGCAGAGGATGCCAAGGCCAAGGCAGAGGAGGAGAAGAAGCGACGTGAGGAGGAAGAAGCAAAGAAGGCAGCAGAGGATGCCAAGGCAGAGGAGGAGAAGAAGCGACGTGAGGAGGAAGAAGCAAAGAAGGCAGCAGAGGATGCCAAGGCAGAAGAGGAGAAGGAGCTACGTGAGGAGGAGGAAGCAAGGAAGGCAGCACAGGATGTCAAGGCCAAGGCAGAAGAGGAGAAGAAGCGACGTCAGGAGGAGGAAGCAAAGAAAGCAGCACAGGATGCCAAGGCAGAAGAGGAGAAGAAGCGCAGGGAGGAGGAAGCGAAGAAGGCAGCACAGGAAACGGAGGAAGAGGATAAGAGGCGTGAGGAGGAAGCAAAGAAGGCAACAGAGGATGCCCAGGCCAAGGAAGACAAGGAGAAGAAGCAAAGACAGGAGAATGAAGCCCAGAAGGCAGTCAAGGAAAAGGAGGAGGAAGAGGAGAAGAAGCCTGACAGTACCAAGCGAAAGATTGAGGCCAAAGGCAAGTCCAAGGAGGAGGAGGAAAGAAAGAAAAGGCTCAAGCTGTGAAGCAGGACTTTCTCCAGGGTCTACACTACACAGTTCTTCATGTTGTGTGCAGCGTTGTTCGCCTGAATCCCGAACCCGAGAGAGATATCATTTTGAGGCCCGTGTTCGGAATTGTGTACCTAGGTCAAAACTGTACTGCCCAAGCTCAGCCCAGTCTGAAATCATGCGTGAGACTCATGAGACCCCAGATTCATCTTCAGCCTCAAGCTCGAGACCGAAATAGGAAGGTGGGCGGGGGTTGACGTGGAGTTGGGAGGGTGTCGGGACTTCATGCTAAAAGGATACACAACACGAAAGGTTCTGGATGATCAAGACTCTGCTGATGAAAGCTCTGCTGGTGAACCGTTTTATTTTGCGAACCTCGTGCACTCCCGCAGCCCGCAGTGTTGGTAAGGCGAAACTTCAGACCTAGCTTCAACCCTCAACATTGTTAGTGCAGCTGTGAACTCACAAGTACATGCTGCCAGAGATGGCTGGAGTGCTCGAACCCTTGAGTTTCAATCGCGACTGTGGATTGCAAGCCCGGCTGGCCGCCGGCGTGCGGATGCTAGAGGCGACAAATGATTGCTGTTCTGCTTCAGCACGGAGTGGTTGTTCAGATTGACATGTGGTCTGTTGCAGCACGTGTCGTCAGCCAACATTGAGGTCAGTCGACGGAGCTGACCCGGGATCTGAGAGTCGGCATTTTGCTGTCCGTGCAAAGCCAGCTGAGCAGCTGAGCAGCGGAGAGCTTGATGAGCGTAACTTTCGTTTGCATTGTCTGTTTGACCGACCTGAACACAACAGCACTATCAGTCACTATCTCCGACGAGTCATCCCGGCCGCTTCGTTGTTCTTTCGTAAATAGCCTGCTGTGACTTTGTAGAGTGCGGAATAGTCAAGAGACAGAGTGCTGCCTTCATAACAAAGCGTGGACAGATTTTGCAAGCTTGGGGATGCTTCCTTGTGTGCTCAGACGGCACGCTTTGCACCTCGAAGCCCTGATCGCTGATCAACAGCCCTGAATGCTTGCATTGCTTGAGCGAGTATCCCAGGTCCTGCCGGTCCTGCTTCAATATACCACCACAATCTAGGTAAGTGTTCAAGATTGTTGTTTTCAAGAAGTTTGCGCGGAAATTCTTCGAAAAGTCTGTCTACTCTTCCAACAAGGTTTCGAATTTAGGACTGGGTATTTTTTCGGGCTTAGTGTTTAACGTTTCGGGCTTGGGGTTTAGAGTTTCGGGTTTAGGGTTGAGGCTCCCGGAGGGTTAGGCGGGTAAGGGGTTTGCCATACAAAGAATACGCAAAAAAAAGCAACGCTGGATGTGCATCATCCGTGACAGGGCCGGTTTGAGGTTTTTCTTAGTTTGGGGGTGTGCTGGTGGCAGAGCAGCACGCCGGGAAGGACATAGGAAATCTACCACTCAAAGACCTTTCTCGCCTGAGTGGGAAGAAGACGCCCGCCAGGTGAGGTGGAATGCACAAGGCCACGAGTCGGGTTGAGAGACAAGCTGAGTGAGTCCACGGATGCCAACAGGCTTCGCAGTGAGGCGTCAGGACGGGCCGTAGCAATTTCCCCCAGACCTGCAGTTTTGTGCTCCGCCGGCCGGCGGCTCCGTGAACGGCATGATCGAAGTCCGGCTCGATCATTTCCGGCTCCAACACAGCCCTTGAGATCTGCCGGCTATCAACGGAGCGCTCGTTACACCATCGCAACACAGCGCGCATGGCGCGTTCATGCATGGCAGAGCTGGCGGCCAGAACAGAGACGCAGGAGAAGATTGGACTGCAAGAAAACAGAAACCCCGCTCTCATTCCTGCGAAACCCTGCTCTTGGGACCGAGATCTGTTGCCGCAGTCGTTGAGGTCCGGCAAGCCAAGAACCTGTCATGTTTGTCGATCTGAAAACCTGTTCAGACATGTCAGATGGAACCAGGCAGGAACAAATGTGACAAATTGAGTGCCTGTTCTGGAGACCGCATTCAAGTTTTACGACGCGAATTTGAAGATCTTGATGTTCCAGAAGAAGTTTGGAATGGACACAGTGCATAAACATCCTGGAGGACTGGGCTCACGGCAGCGTTTGGAGATCCAAAGTTGTTGACCGAGGGAGACAGGTGCATGATAAACTTCGGCTAGGACACTGAGGTGAAGAAGTACATCTTGCTTCATGCTGAGACAGATGTCTTTGGTCAGTCTGTTGCACCTATCAGTTTGTTGTTTCTTCATCTGTCGTCATGTCTGTTGTGCCTGCATGCACATCAGCCTGTAAACTTGTGGTGCCCATGTTGTTATCTTTACCTTCACTTCTGTTGGACCCTCACTCGCTCCGTTCCAACTGCTCTGCTTCCAAGGGAGGCTTGAAGAAGGCTTTTAAGGGGATTGGATGATGTCAAGACAACAATGGATGAAGAATGTCGCTTTCCTAAGTGTCTCCAAGCCTCTTTCTTCAGTGGCTGGTCGAGTCGACATTGGTGCTTCTAAAGTTGGTTGAATTTTGCTAGAATTTAAATTTGGAACACAGAGCCAATCCGTTGAGGACATGACGTGTTGTCCAATGTGTTTTGCAGTCTGGAAGAATTCCCAAGTTTGCTGCATCATGATTCAAAGCAGTTGTCAAGGCATGTTTTTTTTTGCCATGAGCATTTGTCAAACATGAGCACATGTTGTTTCTGCATGTTTTATTGTAAATATACATGACATAAACAGATATATACAAACATATATTTACATTTATAGTCATATTTTCACATATTGCGTCGATCGCACCCCGCCCCCCATGTACGGCTTTGTTGTCTCGGCAAACAATTGTGTATTACGGGAAGTTCTAGCCGAAAAGTTTATCATCGCAAGTGACTGCCGCTGCTGAGGTATAACTTGGCTGCCACACAGCTTCACGACCAATCATGTAGTATGTCGGTTTTCAATGGAAACCGTCCCAACACGAAAGAAAGGAAGAGTTCTCGCCAACGCCGCCAAGGCGCAGATGTGTTGCTACTGCCTGCCACAGGTCGCCATCGCCGCAAATACAATGACAACTCAGGTCGCAGCCAACCCCACGACGAACGAATGTTGTCGCCAACCTACCGAGACATGGCGTTGCTGCCGCCGTGTCGCTGCCGCAGCAAGCCTTCGCCGACATACGCACCAAAACATGTAAATTACGAGAAAAGGCCGTCGTCGTCTGCGCAACGTCCATTGTCGCAACCCTTGTCGTGGCAATCGGTGTGTTCCCGCCATGTCATCAAACTTTTTGC